CACACACACACACACACACACACACATCCCCACAAACTCACTGACTGAGCTCCAGGCCAATCTCGGACCCTGGACTCGGCACCCGGACGCAGAGACCTGAAGACAGGCGCCCGCTGAGGGACACAGGCCCCACTGCCCTTTCCCCCGAGACCCTGGGGCAATGCAGGACCAGACCTTAACACCCCCCACACTCCCCAGGGAACCTCCAGTGGATTCTCATCACGCTCCTGCCAGGCCTCCCGGGCCCTGCCTGGCCAGGGACCTGACGGATGCTGTCACCACATACCAACCAGCCCCTCTGGTTCCTGAATCAGGGCCTCTCCCCAAACTCCCTGCTCCCTCTGCCTGCGACTCACTCCTCCAATCAGAGGTCAGAAAACCGCTGCCCAGGCCGAACCTGTCCCGCAGCCTGCTTTTGTAAATAAAGTTGTATAGGAACACAGCTGTGCACATTCGTTTACATGGAGAACTTTTCCTGCTACAAGGGCAGAGCCCAGCAGCTCAGACAGACTAGAGGAGCCACAAAGCCTAGGACATTTACTCCTCTCGACTTGTGCAGGGCGGGCATCCCCTCCCCGCCTGTGCTCAGGGCCTAAGGAAGGGGCTCAGGCACCTTTCCACAGCAGCACCCTCTTCTTAGTGCCTCGCCCCCACCCCCACCCTGGCTCTTCTGCAGGGTCAGGACCCAAGTGACACACTGTCACTGCTACTTACCCTCCCCACCAGTAGAGCTCAGCTCCGCGGTGGGTGGTCTGCTCAGCATACCCCGAAGGCACACTCAGCCCTGCAATCAAAACCCTTCTCTTCAGAGAAGGAATGAGACTGGGACGCACTTCCCCAGACACCTGCACAGACACCTTCCTCCCCTCCCCCAAGCCCCTGAGCAAATGTCACCACCTGACACTGTCTTAGAGCAGCAAATTCTCCCCCGCCGCCCACAGAATCCCTACCTGGCTCCTGGTTTTCTTGCAGCACCCGTCACCTTCTAAGCTACTATGAAATTTCCTTACTACGCATCCTGGCCATCCCTCCCCCCCCCCCGCCCCTTTGTTCGCAGCTGTCCCCCAAGGGCTCAGAGTACTGGTCAGCACCAGCAGACACTCAATGAGTACCTGTCCAGTGAAGGAATGACACCCGCACCCCAGGAGGGACACAGCCCTGGGGGTCCAGGGAGGAAGACGTCTGAGCTAGCTTGTGAAAAATAAGTGCTGGTTAGCATTCTGCTCTTTGGGTTTTGATGGTGGAGAAGATGGAGGTGAAGAGGGAGCGACAGAGCAAACGCTGGAGGGAGAGCATACGACAGCATGGAGGACGCAGGACAGCACACAGGTGGGCACCGGGCACAGCCTGTGAGAGGGGTGGGGGGGAGGGTGTGCAGCAGCCCAGGCCTTCCTCCTGGAGCAGTGGGGCCACCCAGGGGTGCATGCCAGGAACAGCGTGGACAGCTTTACATGGGTCACATGCGGTGACACCAAAGGATTCTGAGTGGACATAAATGAGTACTCGGAAATTCTCCCTATTCCCCACACTTTAACTTAACTTGCTGCAACGGAAATTCTACAATAAAAGGGAAGTATGTCATAATGGGAACACAGGCGAAAAAGCATCCTCCTGACACTCCACTCCTAAAGGAACACACACATGTGCAAGTTGAGGCCTTCAGATAATTAAGCAAGACTGGAAATTATGCAAATGAGATATATTCAAGTATGCAATGAATTTTAAATGACAGAACTACAGAAAACTTAATTGCTGTATTAGCATGCTATAAAAACACTAATCATGAATGTAAAACAATGCATGCATATACTTATATCAAAATTGTCCCGGCCACACAAACATCAAAACGTTCCCTCCCACTGTGTTCCCGTGCAAACCTACCTCAATAAATGGAAAGAAAAACCATGATATCGGAGTGTCACGGCTCGTTTTTAACCATTCTCTTCACTAACATAAATGTTAAATGTTTAACTAGTATTTATTCGATGTTTCTGAAATCGTTATTTTAAAAAGAGCCCAAAAAATGATTTTCTATAGCACTAATTTCTGGAAAGTTACTGCTGTGCTTGCATGGAATTTAAATGTTAAACAGCATGACTGATAGTTTAATGGTGTGTTCCAGGCTAGAGTATGCGTTAGTTCTCCACAAGTGACAAGAACCAAGTTTCTCATCTCTCTTTCTTCATTAAAGCGCATGTCCTACTTGTCAGTGAGGAACAGTGCTCCTCGGCAGAGCACGGGACCGAAACCAGGGCCCGCAGAGACTGGGACACAGGAAGCAGAGCGGGACAAAGTCATTCCTGTGAGACGTGCCCCCCAGGTGCTGGCCACCCCCGGCAGATACAGAACTGCGGGGAAGGGTCCTGAAAGGTGCTTCCATCGACACTTCCTACGAGTCGCTCTGAAAAGCTTGTGACCTGTCTTAGAGGACACCTGGAAAACTGGATATGAATACTTAGAAAGCCAAACAAATACATAAGCAGCCGCAGCAGGTCTCACTTTAATTGCAAATAGCTATTTCATCAATAAATATGCACCGTCCAGAGGTGATATCCATTTAGGATTCTGAGGTACTAGGCTGCAAGTTTACTTAGACTTGTTAGCAAGAAAGAGGCTTTTAAATGCGGCAAGTCAGACCCAATTTATAGCAAACACTTAGAGTTCCCTATTGACTTGGCTCCAAAAATAATTTAAAATGGCAAAGAGAAGAAAGCCGTCTGTGAACCACCTGGGGTTTTGGCAGGGCCCTTCACGTCCAGGATGAAGCCCCAGCTAAGCACACGGCAGGTACTCATGCCCCCACCCCCCAGCCTGCCAGAGGGGCTCCAACACAGGCAGCTAGTTGAGTGCGAGGGGTGAGAAGCCAGAACGCCACCCTCCATCACAGAACACAAACTGCTTCTAACATCCATTTCTCCCCCTAACATCATTACTAATATTAAAAAAAAAAAAATGGTCAAACATCTCACCCTGTCATTGATTGCTCAGAGTTCAACTAATAGTTGAAATAATCCTCTATGCTGGAACCTTTCTATATCCCGTGTTTCAAAATGTTACAGATTTTTTTTTAATAATAAAATCAGAGAAAAATACAGCTGTCATAAATTACTGCTTATCTTTATTTTCTGCCAGCCTTGTCAAGCCAGGCCTGAAATTAAGCAAAGGATGGGAAATGTCAGCTTAGCCCAGGCTAAGGCTCGAATCACAAAGCTAGACAGGCACACTTGGGGCCAGGTGACAGGCCTTCTCCTCACAGGAGGAGGGGTGAGACTTACTGAGAGGAGCTTCCACGTAATGGGACGGACTGGCTTGGGGATTCCGGACCAGCTCAACTTCCGTAATTCCTCTGTTGGCACAAAAGAGACAAGGAAAACAGGGTTTACAAACAGCCAAATCCCCGCGTGCTCCAACCAGGGTTATCAGGGGCAGTGAGCCCCACGTGTAAATCCAGGATGAACCCAAATGATAAAAATTTCAGATACTGACTGTGTCAATGTCGAGAGCAGTTACCATGCTGTTCACACAATGCTAAACGTTGCCCATTTACATTTAAATCTTAGGGAAATCTGTTTGCTAAGGGCACCCCAGGTGTCCCCAGCACCACCCTGGGACACAGAGGACCAACTAAGCCAGGTGACCTGCCACCCCTCCCCCATCTCTCCCCCAAATGCATTTTCCCCAGCTTCACACCTAAATGAGGTTTTCTTCCTTCCTCCCTTGCATCCTGTCTCACTCTCACCATTACTGTTGAGGAACACCTGCATGAGGTGGTTTTCTCAGGACTGGTTTTGAAAGAAATTACGTCGTGGGATGTATGTATATAACACTGATTAAGGGGTGGCCGTATTAGACACACCAAGGACAGCAAAGCCTTCAAATAGGCCAACACGAGTCCCTGCTGCCTACACATACCTGCAGGTGAGAAGGCCACAGAGGGACAGGGCTGGCCAGGGACAGAGGGAGTGAGGTCAGAGCCGCCCAGCAGGACAGCGGAGGGCAAAGAGCCCCTGAATTCTGTCTGACCCCCGTGTCTCCTTGAGTGTCCCTTTCACATGCCCCGAATGGCTAGAAGACATTTCAATTTGTGGGTATATCAACACTCAGTCAATCCCTCTGAAACTGAAGCAATTATTTCTGTCCTTTGAGTTACGAATCCACCATTAGGTTCTTCTGCTAACATCTCAGAGCTAATGATTAATACCAGGAATAAAGGAAATGATTAAAGAGACGACTTTGGTAATATAATCAACAAAATACAAAGTCCTGACATCTAATCTTTTTCCAATTACTAAAGTCTAAGTAAAGTAAGTAGAGAATAATTGAGCAACAGTTGCCGCAATAACGTGCATTTTACAGCAATCTCAGGAAATATCAAATCTTCCCCAGTCCCTAAAGACATTATGAAAAGCAGGAACTTCATATCTGAACACCAATAATGTGATGTTTACCAAGCATGTTCCCAGCGCCTCTCTGATTATGGTTTATGAAGAAAGTCGAGAGAAATCTCAGCTGTTAACATCTCTGAACCTTTCTCCTCAAGGGGGAAACTCACTAAAATGCTAGAATATACAGTCTGAGGCAAAGTTCTGACTTTGTGTAAGCTTTAATGCTTCAAAGGAGCTCTCATATGTATCCAATTTGGTGCTCAAAAAAAAACCTCTTCCGTTAATTAGGGTTGCGATCTACCGTGTAAATGAGGAACCGTCCCTCAGAGGTTAGGTGACACAGGAACTAAGTGACCTTCACATCCCTGGGTCTGGCCACTCTATTACCTCCCGTTATTAAAAAGGGTTTTGTAACACAGACAAATCTCACTTATGAATATGGACAAAAAGGCCCACAATAAAACCTTTGCAGACAAAATCAGAAACAGATAGTCAAAGAACAGTGCACATAAGCAGGATTTAGCCCAGGAATGAAAGCACGGGTCCAAGTCAGGAGTCTCGTAACTTGACTAAGGTGTTCAACTGTGCTGATGGGGAAGCCCAGGACCACTCTGACCAATGTCAGGAGCACTGTCACCCAGGGCCCACTTGCCCCTTCCACCTTTCCATCAGAATTCGGGTTGTACACACCTCTCCGCAGCAGCCCTGGGAGGGAGAGGTGTCCATCAGCCCAGGGAAGCTGAACCCACCCACCCCACTCCAAAGGTGGGCCTGGTTGGTTGGTGTGGAGCTAAGCCCCACCCTCATCACTAACTGAGAAGGCGATGGGACCCTATTTGAGGCACTGAGAAGAGAGTCAATTGGCTGGGGGCTTCTGAGAAAGACCTCCTTGGCCTTGGGAATCAAGATGCAATCCCGTCCTTGCTCTGAAAGTCTCTGGGGTCAGATGTGAGGCTGGGGCCTGCTACAGCCATTAGCACCCGACCGGCCTCCAGGGGGAAGCAACACAGAGAGGCAGCAGGCAGAACCACGAGACAGAGGACACCACGGCTCTGAGTCAGCAAGATGGCCAGGTACAAGCACGTTCAAATATCAATAGCTTTGGGCCGTCCGAGTGGCTCAGTTGGTTAGAGCACGAGCTCTGAGCAATAGGGTTGCCAGTCTGATTCCCACGTGGGCCAGTGAGCTGCGCCGGAGCTGAGCTGCAGCTGAGCTGGTGAGAGCATGCACTCTTAACAACAAGGCTGCCAGTTCAACTCCCGCATGGGATGGTGGACTATGCCATACAGACACACGCGCGCGCACGCAACTAGATTGAAAGCGGCAACTGGACTCGGAGCTGAGCCTGCATCCTCCATGAAGGATGACTTGACTTGGAGCTGATGGGTCCTGGAAAAACACACTGTTCCCCTTCCCCAATTCCCCAACATGCTTCCCCTCCCCAATTCCCCCAATAAAATCTTTAAAAAAAAATCAGCAGCTTTTCTCTACTGGCAAAAAAATAAATAGAAAGTGTTACAGGAGCACGCTTAACAGGAAGAAGTGGATAAAATTATAAGGCTTTACTTAAAGATATAAAGAAACAGGAAAACACCAAGCCCACTGAAGCATTCCCTGTGAGCCAGGCACTGGCTGATGGAGTCACAAAATGACCCTCGCACAGCCCGCGTGCCAGCAAAGGGAAAACAACAACAGGTAAATGGTGCAATAAACTAGTACGCTGTGATGGTTTCCGCGGCTGAGGTAAGACCCACAGCTGAGAACTTGACAGTGAAGACAGAGCAAGGGGACTGTCTGAGCCCACGGAACAGCCGTCACAAAGCGCTGACCAGTGTGGAGGACAGACCAAAGGGCCAAGTGGTCACGAGGAGACCACTTAACGGGCCACTTACAAACCCATTGTAGAGGTGATGGGGGCTAGGACGGTGACAGTTAAAGAAAAGCAATGACCAAGGAGACATCTAGGGTACAAAAGCAAGAAGGCTCAAACGATATAGTCCTGGATCCAAGACTCAAATTTGCAATGCTGTCAAGTGTCACTTAAAAACCTTCCGTTCAATGCAAAGCCATCCCAAATTCCAATGGGATGCTGTGTTCTGAGACTTGGTAAGCGGAGGACCCTACGCCCTTCAGGGAGAGCAAGAACAGCCAATAAAATTTTCAGAAAGAATAATGTGAAGGCATCTGCACACTAAAGGATAAGAAAATACACAACAGAGCTACAGTAATTAAGACACAGGCTCTAAGAGCAAGACTAAGGCAAAGAGATCAAGAGACAGAAGGAACGGGGTTGGCCGGGTGGCGCGATGGTTAAGAACTGGCTTGGGACGCCCCGGTTCGGATCCCACATATGAGGGCCAGTGACACTGCCCTCTACAGCTAAGATGCTGAACAACAGCTCGACCTGGAGCTGGGCTGCCGTGAGTCCCCGGCACCAGCATAGGCTGCAGCCCCTGTGGCAGTGGGTTGCCATGGGCTACCGTGTGTAGCCAGCAGCCAGCATGAGCAGCCAGCAGCCGCAGTGAGCAGCCATCCAGAAGCCGGCGACTGATCTGCCTCGCCTGGGAAGAGCGCAATGATGGTGCCAACTTGGGCCAGTGAAGCAACACCCTCCACAACTAGACTGAAGAACAAAACGACAGCAACTTGTCTGTTCCCCTTCCCCCAATTCCCCAGCACTGTTCCCATCCCCCAATTCCCCAATAAAAATCTTTAAAAAAAAGAAACAGAAGGAACGGTTCAGATCATGATGAAAGGGGCCCGTCAAACAATGACGTCCAAACAATATGGTTTCTATTTTTAAAAAAGGAAATTAGATTGTGTACCTTGCCATATGAAAGCGTATTTCCTGATAATTAAAGATCCAAAGATTTAAACTGTGTGTGTGTGCGCGCGCGCATGCACGCACTAGCCCTTGTGTGTAAAAAAAAAAGAAAAAACTACTACAGGAAAATACAGGAGAATACTTTGCTGTTTTCAGAAAAGAAAGCAAGACACAAATCTCAGAAATTATAAATAAGAATATTCACAAATTAACTATATAAAAAATTGAAATAACTGTATGGTGAAAGACATTATATTAAAAAAAATGACAGACTTGGGGAGCAGGGGTGGGGTGAAAAAAATGACAGACTTGAAAAATACATGCAATATATAAGTAGGATACCATTACTATAATATATAAACAGCATATACAAAAGTAAGAGAGATCAATTTAAAGAAAAACGCAAAATTCAGAGAAGGATATAGACATGGCTAATAAACATACAAAAATAGACACATAACCTCAATGGTGATCAAAGAGCTACAAATTAACACAACAAATCTGTCACTAATTGGATAAAATTCTAAATGAGTAATACCCAAATGGATGACTTCTGGGAAGCAGCCACTCTCTTACAGTCTGGTCAGCGTGTATGTTGATACAACCTTTTTGTTGATCAAATTTTGGAGGTGTGTAACGTTTGAGCAGCAGCTTCACGTGAAGAAACCTGTTCTACGGGGGTATTTACACAGACGCACAAGGGTGTTCACCTGAGTACTCTCCTGGTAACAGGAAACTGGAAACAATCCAAGTGGCATTACCAGGGAGAGGATTAAAAACACGGCCAGCAGAGCCATACACTAGAACACACACTGCTGTAGTAAAGAATGGGCGCCTTTCTGGGTGGGTGTGGAATAAATTTATCTAGCTAGGAAGTGAAGAGGGGGCAATCCAGAACGTGTGTGGACGCAGCGTCATCTCCGTGCGCACATAGGACCAGGCTCGGGGAGGAGTTCAGTGTGGGCTTCCCGCCAGTGCGTTTCCCACGCACCCCAGGGCATTCCTCGCAGCTGCAAAGTTCCCGTGACATTTCACCTCCGACTTTTCAAAATCCACCCAACCTCCAGCCCCCGCGCAGCCTCTCCCAGGGCTATGAATCCTTCCTGACAACCCAGGGCTCCCTCACCTCTCTCCTCT